GATCCCCCATTACAATGTCACTGCCAAGAAAAAAACAGTTCTGTACCACTTACTGGGGAAATAGGAAAAGCAACAAATGACATCAGCGATCAGTCTGCTACCTAGAAGAACTTCACCTGCTTGAGCAAGCCCGTGAGCTCCTGCCTGTAGAAATGTCACCTCCCTGGGAAGATGACACATGCAGGATTATCGTCAACGAGATGACAATGAAAAAGTCCAAGATGAAACCACAAGAAATGAGGCATAGGTATCTTGAGGAAATTTATAAAGAAGCTGGGAATGAATTAGATCAAATCTACACTGATGGGTCATCTAATCTTACCAATGGCAGGGCTAGGGCAGCATACAATGTAATTAGGAATAATGCCTTTCAAAACGGTAATGAAGAACAAACACATATTGATAACTATGCCTCTTCAGCGCAAGTAGAGCTAACTGCCATTGTTATGGCATTAAGATTTCTTGAAAGGAAACACTAACAATGCAGTGGTCAGTACTGACTCAAAATCAGGAAGAAAACCTTGCCATAGTCGCTGAAATCAAGAGAGCTGTGAGAGTACTAACCAACCAGGGAAGAGTAGTCAAATTTCTGGGGATTCCCTCCCATGTTGGAATATGTGGAGATGAACGAGCAGATGTGCTGGCTGCTGAAGGTGACCATATTGAATACTTCATACCCAAGACTCTTCTACAAATTAGAAGTATTATCAGGCAACATCACCGTGAGAAGGTAACTGAGGAAAGGACTCTTGAGGTTATCTTGAGATGATTACGGGGCTTAGCGTTCCCGCGGCCCTGTCCTCGACCAGGCCTCCTTTTTGTTACACATCCCCAGGAAACAGCCCATAGCAGCTGTCTAACTCCCAGGTACCTATTTACTGCTAAATGAACAAGAGCATCAGGGTGACAGAAACTTTGCCCATTTGTTTCTGTCTTCACCGGGGATCGAACCCGGAACCTCTATACTACGAAACTGAAGCGCCGTCCACTCAGCTGTCAGGCCCCTTTAAAAGAACAAATCAATCTGTACGCTGGTACAATGGGGTTGCAGCTGGCAATCCCAATCATTATGGACGAAGAGGAGGTGGCCGCGGGAATCAGTAACAGCAAGAATTTGTCTTGAATAGAAATATTCACGGAGACTTGGTACGGAAACAACAGCTGAGCAGCAAAGGTGCAGAATCTGTGGTGAGAGTGAAGGACACCGCCTTGACCACTACCTGAGAGAATGTGAACATCTTAGAGACATCAGAAATAAGCGTAGCATAATAAACCCCACATTGTTTGAGTTGGAAAAATACTGTGTCAAATATAAATGATGTTCTCAAAAGATTCCCCCATTTTACACGCGCAAGATAACGTAAGATTTTTAGGGTTGACAAAATGTTAATCTTCTTATTTGAGAAGCTGTTCACTTGAGACAGTTAAGCAAGTCCCAGCTGTGTCTGGGTACAAGTGACAGGATGAACAACCCAGCGGGGTTTCTTCCTATTAAGGGGTTGCCTTACCTTGAGGTTACCTTGAGGTGCTTCCGGGGCTTAGTGTCCCCGCGGCCCGGTCGTCGACCAAGGCTCCTGGTTGCTGGACTGATCAACCAGGCTGTTAGACGCGGCTGCTCGCAGCCTGACGTATGAGTCACAGTCTGGTTGATCCAGGCTGTTGTACATGCTGCTATGGGGTGTTGTACATGCTGCTATGGCGGTATGTCCACTCAAAGGATGAGTGGCGCTGCCCAATACTGTCACTATGGCGGTGTGTTCTCTCACAGGATGAGTGACGCTGCCCAATACTGTCACTATGGCGGTGTGTCCACTCACAGGATGAGTGACGCTGCCCAATCCTGTCACTATGGCGGTGTGTTCTCTCACAGGATGAGTGGCGCTGCCCAATACTGTCACTATGGCGGTGTGTCCACTCACAGGATGAGTGGCGCTGCCCAATACTGTCACTATGGCGGTGTGTCCACTCACAGGACGAGTGACGCTGCTCAATACTGTCACTATGGCGGTATGTCCACTCACAGGATGAGTGGCGCTGCCCAATACTGTCACTATGGCGATGTGTTCACTCACAGGACGAGTGACGCTGCTCAATACTGTCACTATGGCGGTGTGTCCACTCACAGGATGAGTGGCGCTGCCCAATACTGTCACTATGGCGGTGTGTCCACTCACAGGACGAGTGACGCTGCCCAATACTGTCACTATGGCGGTGTGTCCACTCACAGGATGAGTGGCGCTGCCCAATACTGTCACTATGGCGGTGTGTCCACTCACAGGATGAGTGGCGCTGCCCAATACTGTCACTATGGCGGTGTGTCCACTCACAGGATGAGTGACGCTGCCCAATACTGTCACTATGGCGGTGTGTTCACTCACAGGATGAGTGGCGCTGCCCAATAAACTCGCCCCTCGGGACAAATGTTAAATCAATGGGAAGACAGCAGTAATGCACTATGGGGAGATCAGGAGACCCTGAGTGCTGTACACTCAGAAGCGAGGCCTTCCTTGCAGTGTGTGTATTCAACTAGTTGTATTCACTTAGTTGTGCTTGCGGGGGTTGAGCGCTGCTCTTTCGGCCTGTCTCTCAACTGTCAATCAATCAACTGATATTTTTTACACTCCCCCCCCCCCCCCCGGAAGTATTCCGTAACAGCTGTCTAACTCTCAGGTTCCTATTTACTGCTAGGTAACAGGGGGCATCATGGTGAAAGAAACTTTGCCCATTTGTTTCCGCCAGCGCCGGGAATCGAATCCCGGTCCCCAGGACTATGTTTCTAGCGTGCTGTCCATTCATCCACCAGCGCCACCAGTGTGTGTGTGTGTGTGTGTGAGTGTGTGTGTGTGAGTGTGAGAGAGTGTGTGTGTGAGTGTGAGAGAGTGTGTGTGTGTGTGTGTGTGTGTGTGTGTGTGTGTGTGTGTGTGTGTGTGTGTGTGTGTGTGTGTGTGTGTGTGTGTGTGAGAGTGTGTGTGTGAGAGTGTGTGTGTGAGAGTGTGTGTGTGAGAGTGTGTGTGTGTGAGAGTGTGTGTGTGAGAGTGTGTGTGTGAGAGTGTGTGTGTGAGAGTGTGTGTGTGAGTGTGTGTGTGTGAGTGTGTGTGTGTGAGAGTGTGTGTGTGAGAGTGTGTGTGTGAGAGTGTGTGTGTGAGAGTGTGTGTGAGAGTGTGTGAGAGTGTGTGTGTGTGTGTGTGTGTGTGTGTGTGTGTGTGTGTGTGTGTGTGTGTGTGTGTGTGTGCTCACCTATTTGTACTCACCTATTTGTGCTTGCAGGATCAAGCATTGACTCTTGGATCCCGCCTTTCCAGCCATCGGTTGTTTACAGCAATGACTCCTGTCCCATTTCCCTATCATACCTAATTTTAAAAGTATGAATAGAGTTTGCTTCCACAACCTGTTCTCCAAGTGCATTCCATTTTTCCACTACTCTCACGCTAAAAGAAAACTTCCTAACATATCTGTGACTCATCTGAGTTTCCAATTTCCACCCATGTCCCCTCGTTCTGTTATTATTACGTGTGAACATTTCATCTATTTCCACTTTGTCAATTCCCCTGAGTATTTTATATGTCCCTATCATATCTCCTCTCTCCCTTCTTTTTTCTAGTGTCGTAAGGTTCAGTTCCTTCAGACGCTCTTCATATCCCATCCCTCGTAACTCTGGGACAAGCCTCGTCGCAAACCTCTGAACCTTCTCCAGTTTCCTTATGTGTTTCTTCAGGTGGGGGCTCCATGTTGGCACGACTTACACTAAGACTGGTCTCACGTAGGCAGTGTAAAGCGCCCTAAAAGCCTCCTCACTTAGGTTTCTGAATGAAGTTCTAATTTTCGCCAGTGTAGAGTACGCTGCTGTCGTTATCCTATTTATATGTGCCTCAGGAGTTAGATTAGGTGTTACGTCCACTTCCAGGTCTCTTTCTCGAATGGTTACAGGTAGGCAGTTCCCCTTCATTGTGTACTGTCCCTTTGGTCGCCTATCACCTGATACCATTTCCATAACTTTACATTTACTGGTGTTGAGCTCCACTAGCCATTTCCCTGACCATCTCTGCAACCTGTTTAAGTCCTCTTGGAGGATCCTACAATCCTCGTCTGTCACAACTCTTCTCATTAATTTTGCGTCATCCGCAAACATTGACATGTAGGATTCCACTCCTGTAAACATATCATTTACGTAAATTAAAAAGAGGATTGGTCCCAGCACCGATCCTTGAGGTACTCCACTCGTTACTGTTTGCCAGTCCGACTTCTCGCTCTGGCTCCTTCCTGTTAGGTAGTTCCTTACCCATGCTAGGGCCTTTCCGCTTACTCCTGCCTGCCTCTAAAGTTTGTATAGCAGTCTCATGTGCGGTATTGTATCAAAGGCCTTTTGACAGTCAAGAAATATGCAGTCTGCCCACCCTTCTCTGTCCTGCCTTATCCTTGTACTTTATCATAAAATTCTAAAAGGTTTATTAGGCATGATTTCCCTGTCCAGAACCCATGTTGGTGCTTGTTTACAAACCCAATGCTCTCCAGGTGCTCAACAAGTCTTAGCCTAATTAATCTTTCAAGTATTTTCCAGAGGATGCTTGTCAGTGATACGGGTCTGTAGTTAAGTGCCTCCTCCCTATCATCTTTCTTGAAAATCGGTATGACATTTGCCTCCTTCCAGCAACTTTGTGTGTGCGTGTGCGCGCGCGTACCCACAACCCATCAGCTCCGTCCAAAACCACACCCTCACCAGACACAATAATAACACCCCCCCCCCCCTCCCCGGCTCCCATATCCCCAAATGTAACAGATTTCACCCTCTTTCTTCCCAACTATCAATTTCACTTCTTGCTCTCTAACCCCATCCATTCAGACGCCGCCTGTCATCACCCATTTCACTCCCCTTCACTTCCACCGCCCCCCTCCCCTCCCCTCCATCTTCCCCCCAGCATTTCACCCCCGCCCCCTCCATCGATGGCACCTGCAGGATGGGTGCCGGCGAGAGAGAGCCACGGAGCCAACCCGTATATAAGATGGGCAGAGCCACCACCAGCAGCATCACACCCTCCTCCGTCTTCACACCAACAACAACACCAACAGCGTCTCGTCATGCAGCTGATGAAGGTAATGGCGGGTATTACCGCGTCTTGGCACTATCTGAAGGTTCAGTTCTCCCGGCTTGGGTTCCGGAGCATCACTTTATACTTAGAATTCAGTTAACTGCAGAAGGCATACAGGTTGCGGTGTGTTATTATAATATTATATATATATATATATATATATATATATATATATATATATATATATATATATATATATATATATATATATATATATATACACACACACACACACACCTCTGGCTAGAAGAAAGGGCACACTTGGCCTCGGAGAAAAGCACACATAACACATTAGGAGGGATGCTTAGGTCCCCTCCAATACAGTTTCTATGTTTTCTCCTACTACCCCCTTCTTTTTATGTTTTGTTGTTGTGCTTTATTAGTTATTTCAAGGTTACAAGTTTTACATTAGTTAGGACAACGAGTGTTTAAAGGTTATGGATCTCTTGAAGCTCCTCCGCCTCTGGCCAGGAACCGAGGACGCATGAGGAGTTTTCCCTCTGGAGAGCGACACTGAGGCGCTGAAACAAGAAACTGGCAGCCCTTTTGTCTCTGGTGATGTCAATGAGCCTGGAACTCAGTTCTTTGAGGAATCCCATGGCGCTTCTATCCCAGGGGCCATGTGTCTCAGACGCTATGGTAACAAAGGTGTATTGACCTTTCGTTGCCTGTACTTGAATGATTTTGCTGTTTCCCTGTGGTTGGCCACCCCACCTGCTTGATCAGCACCGAAGTGTATCTAGGTGTCAGCGAGGGTGGATACACATGTGTAATCCCACACCAGCTTTCTGTCCCTCTTCAAAGGGTATATTGTGATGCCATCTGGGCGAAGTGCAGGGTTCATCTGGGTTTTGGTCTTCTACGATGCGAGGTTCTCTCTCTGCTGGGCACTGAGCTGAGGCAAGGCTCCTCTTGATGATATCATTCACCTCATTGTGTCTTGAATTCCAGCCCTTGGACCTACTGCAGCACAACCCATGCAGTCCATATTGGTCTGCTTCTGCCCTGTTTCAAATACACTTGTATTCAGTGTGAATTGGGGCACCAAGGCGGAGGGCCACTGCTACACGAAGGGATTCTGGATCTAGACGTGTGTCTGTTGCCGACATGGGTACTGCTAGAAGGAAATCTCCTGCTTGGGGGGCACGCACTGCTCTGAGGCGGGCTTTCTCCTTATCTGATGTTGCACGCTGAGCATGGCATCAGCTATTTTTTTATCTAGTGGGTGGTCCCTGCTGGACTGTTTATATTTTTTTGTTGGATCTATGATGGGTGTTGAGGCTACAAGAGCATCCCACTGATTTGAACATTCGTTGATATATACATATATATATATATATATATATATATATATATATATATATATATATATATATATATATAACCTACTCTTCAAACAATGCAGAGGAAAGACTCGGGCGTTAAATGCTTACGACTCATCGCTGGGTGTGTAGAAAGTGGTGAGACACACATTACCAGCACCTTAAACGTCTGGATCTCTCTCTAGCCATTATTGTAAACATCGATTTTCTTGGTCAGGTGGCGGCTCTGGTGATGGTGGTGGCGGCTGCCGCGGCCTTCCCTTCAGACCCCAACGATGTCGAGCCCAAAGCCCTGCCTGGTTACAAAGACGTAAGTCGGACAACTCCTAAATCCACTGTTCAACTTGTGTGAATATTATTTAAATATATTATTGTCTACTCACAGTATACAAGCCAATAAAGTTCATGTAATGGGATCGAATCCGTATCCCTGAACTTACCAGGCACATGCACCTGGGGAGTCTACGGACGCAGGTTCGATCCCCTCAAATTGCCTAAATATTTTCACATAGATACATCACGTTCTTGTCATTTCATTGTACAAGCACTCAATGGTTCGTGAATGGCAATTAATTACGTCTTCCGCAGACTCCCATCCCATACAACTACGCCTACGGTGTCAAGGACGACTACGCCGGCACTGACTTCGGCCACAACGAGAACTCCGACGGCAGCGCGGTCAAGGGCTCCTACAATGTTGTCCTCCCCGACGGTCGCATCCAGACGGTAAACGGACGCTTTTTATACACCGTAGCTGAGGTATATTAAACTGAAGAGATGCCTTATCTATAATATTTGTAAAGTGGAAGTACTTGCTAATTTACTGTTTGTGTTCCCAGGTGAGCTACGTGGCTGACCACTACAACGGGTACCAGGCCCAGGTGAGCTACAAGGGCGAGGCCCAGTACCCACACGAGTACGGTCCACCTGTCACCTTCAAGCCCCAGTACCAGCCCTCCTACCAGCCCTCATACCAGCCTCAGCCCTCATACAATCCCCAGCCCTCATACCAATAAACATCACTGTGACCAGTCTTACGTTACCTCACCTAGTCAGTGTTACTGTATATAAATAAGTAAAGCATGTTTAAATAAAACAAATTCGTTTCTTTTACCATGCAAATTTGATAGAAAAATAGATAGAAGTGTCTTTCTGGCTTCCCTCCGAAGCGGGCCAGTCTGACCTACCTCTAAAGCGGGCCACTCTGGCCCATCTTTATAATAATACATTATTATTACTAAATAATACATTTGGCGACGTAACGAGGTCATTAATGTCCAAAGCAAGAACAAAAGTTGCCATAAATAAATACGAAGAAAATAATAAATTGAACGAATCGTAGGAACCATCTAGGTGGTCATCAACCATCTACAGGTGGTCATCAACCATCTACAGGTGGTCATCAACCATCTAGGTGGTCATCAACCATCTACAGGTGGTCATCATTGCTCTATCCAAAAAAAAGTATGTTTGATGAAGACGAAATTCATTTCCACCACTGTTAAAATAACAAACACAAAATACCTGAGAATTGGAGTCGAATACGTACCTCAAACTCAGCCCATCCTCCCTAAGTTATCAACTATTGAGCCAAACGTACAAAAAATGGACTGTTGGTCCCGGCTGGTCCGGCACATCTTGAATAAAACTATCCAGTTTTCTCTTGAAGATGTCCACGGTTGTTCCCACAATATTTCTTATACTCGCTGGGAGGATGTTGAACAACCGTGAACCTCTGATGTTTATACAGTGTTCTCTGATTGCGACTATGGCACCCCTGCTCTTCATTGGTTCTGTTCTGCATTTTCTGCCATATCGTTCATTCCAGTAAGTTGTTATTTTACTGTGTAGATTAGGGACCTGGCCCTCCAGTATTTTCCAAGTATATATTATTTGATATCTCTCTCGTCTCCTTTCTAGTGAGTACATTTGAGAGCTTTGAGACGATTCCAATAATTTAGGTGCTTTATCTCGTCTATGCGTGCCGTATATGTTCTCTGTATTCCCTCTATTTCAGCAATCTCTCCTGCTCTGAAGGGGAAAGTGAGTACTGAGCAGTACGTAAGACGGGACAGCGCAAGTGACTTGAAGAGTACAACAATTGTGATGGGATCCCTGGATTTGAAAGTTCTCGTAATCCATCCTATCATTTTTCTGGCTGACGCAATATTTGCTTGGTTATGCTCCCTAAACGTTAGGTCGTCAGATATCATCATTTCCAAATTTTTTACATGCTGTTTTTCCTACTAAGGCAGATTTGATTGTGTTTTGAACTCTGTATTATGTTTAAGGTCCTCATTTTTATTGTTTCTGAGTACCTGGAATTTATCACTGTTAAACATCATGTTATTTGAATATATAGTTTGAACATACAGAGTTCGCTATAAATATAGACTACATATACAATTCAAACATACAGTTTGAACGTACAAATATGAACTCTTGAAGCCAACAACGTTCACGTTATGTACCATTAATATTGTAAAAGGCACGACAAAAATGAACCAAAACCAAGCCTTTCTTTTCTAGGTCTAGTATATGTACTGAATTAAGTTTACTATAACATACTAGGCCTAGGATAGCTTATTTAGGACTTGGACAGTGAGACTATTTTGTTACAGCTCCACTTTTTTAAGCATCTTTTGGGCTACCCAATAGTACAGTCCCAAAAATGGACTGTTGGTATGCTCAACAGTGGGACCTGTGGTATGCGCAACAGTAAGACCTGTAGTATGCTCAACAGTGGGACGTGTGGTATCAAACACCAGCAATACCCGAGGCCATCCAGATGGCCTAAACATTTTCAAACGACCTTTTGGCTTCAAGGAGAGCAAAGTGGTTATTCGGGCATGTAAACCTCAGGTGCGCCCCCAGCAGGACTACTGTATCAAACAACTCGTCTACACTGGAGACAGCTCAACACAACGCGACTAAAATCATCCCAGAATTAATCGACTTTCATACCAGGAACAGTTGGGGGCCCTCAAGACTAATAACACTACAAACCAGATGTGACAAGGCTGATCTCACCGAGACCTTACATATACTAGAGAAGTAAGATATTAATGTAGACCACTTCTAGCTCAACACTCCACAATGTAGGACTAAACAAGAGATGTTTAGTCTTAAACGACACAGTTTATCGCGAGTCATAAATGACAGTTTATAACAAATATTACAGTTTAAAATGCATTACAAATTAACAATGGTTTGGCATAGCATGTTTTGGAAGGTTCGTCTTAGTAAGATTAGAAGTTGTCTTGCCGATGTGAGCCTTGTGTTGTCCTTTGATCGCTAGATCTTCTGTATATACTATTGTTGTATACTTAATACTTATAGTATGAAGTATAGAAGACTACCAGGTCTATACGGCCTCATCAACCTAATCCAACAAAAATGATAGTACATGGCGTGAACGTTGTTGGCTACAACAGTCCATATTTGTGCGTTAAACCATACCTGGTTGATGGGGTTCTGGGAGTTATTCTACTCCCCAAGCCCGGCCCGAGGCCAGGCTTGACTTGTGAGAGCTTGGTCCACCAGGCTGTTGCTTGGAGCAGCCCGCAGGCCCACATATCCACCACAGCCCGGTTGGTCCGGCACTTCTTAAAGAAAACTATCTAGTTTTCTCATGAAGATGTCCACAGTTGTTATGGCTATATGCTCGCTGGGAGGATGTTGAACACCCGTGGACCTCTGATGTTTATATAACTAGTATTGCAATACTGACATCAGTATCGGTCAGTAACGACATTGACGGCGAAGAATATCTCTGGATTAGGCTAACTTTGGCTATCTTTCAACTGTAAGTATTGAACGAATGTGACCAAACTAGTATTTGGTACAGAACCATTCAGAACAAGTGAAGCAGCTCAGTATGGACGTCATAGACCTAGTCATTCATTCTCTCGATTACCACACCGTAAAAAATCCAGTGTAAGTGCAGATCCCTAGGGTACCCCCACCTAACCATGCCGGAGGCGATAATCATTAGACCCGTAAAAAGCGTCAATATTACGGTGGGTTTAATTTCCCTAAACCACCGCAATTTTTACGTCGAGGTTGATAACGTGACAAATGGAGTGTTTTCAGTGAGAGGAGAGGTAGGGCTGTGAGCCGGGGCGGAGACTGTCTCGAACTGGACTTCAATGTTTCTTAAATCAACTTACATATGTGCTGAACTAATTACATAATTGTCTTATTTCCTATTTTCAGTGTCATAATTGACCATTGCGCCTTGAATTTATCCAGAGAGCGGAGTTATAAAGGTCACATAATGACTTTATTAAGGTTCATACTCTAATAACCGTAGCCTGTAACTAACTCAGGATAAGGGTTATCTTGAGATGAATTCGAGGCTTAGCGTCCCCGCGGCCCGGTCCTCGACCAGGCCTCCTTTTTGTTACTCCCAGAAGCAGCCCGTAGCAGCTGTCTAACTCCCAGGGACCTATTTACTGATAGATGAACAGATGCATCAAGATGAAAGAAACTCTGCCCATTTGTTTCCGCCTCCACCAGGGATCGAACCCGGAATCTCGGGACTACGAATCCGAAGCGCTGCCCACTCAGCTGTCAGGCCCCTCAGGGGCCTAACTGACTCTTGTCGGGGGACAAGAGTCTTGTAATATATATATATAATTTTGTATGAAATACTTTGACCAATACCTCAAGGTAAAACAAGGTAAAGGTTGGGAAAAATAATAATGAGGGGAAAGCGCTAAGGCAGTGTGACTATACGGTCCTCTGAGGGGATACAAGGACAAGGAGCTGGGGTGTGAGGACAAGGAGCTGGCGTATGAGGACAAAGTCCCGGGGTATGAGGACAAGGAGCTGGGGTATGAGGACAAGGTCCCGGGGTATGAGGACAAGGTCCCGGGGTATGAGGACAAGGAGCTGGCGTATGAGGACAAAGTCCCGGGGTATGAGGACAAGGAGCTGGGGTATGAGGACAAGGTCCCGGGGTATGAGGACAAGGTCCCGGGGTATGAGGACAAGGTCCCGGGGTATGAGGACAAGGAGCTGGGATATGAGGACAAGGAGCTGGGATATGAGGACAAGGAGCTGGGATATGAGGACAAGGAGCTGGGATATGAGGACAAGGAGCTGGGATATGAGGACAAGGAGCTGGGATATAACGGAGAAAAGGAGGGTGGCCAACCACCTAACCGTCAGGGATCCTGCAAGAAGCAAGGCAGCACCTGTACACACCAGTCCACGGGGAATTTTACAAACTAATTTATCAAAAAAAATTGTACGAATTTGAAAGCAGTGGAGATAATTTGTACATGTTTTTTTTTTTTTTTTAAGAAATTTGTTTACAAAATTAACCCTGGAATTATTCCATGCTTTAGGTATGTTAATGATATTTTGTGTATTTGGCTTTCACATGTAAATTCATATGAATTTTTATCAAAACTTGATAAATGATCAAGTCATCTCTCTAAAAAAAATTTACTATAAAGACTGAAAATGATAAATGTTTAACATTTTTGGATATCATTATTCATTGGGAAGATTTTTCACTTGAGTTTAATGTTGACAGAAAACCTAAAAACTATTTCATTAACATATGCTCATTATTTTTCAGGATATAGATACAATGTGAAACAATGTTTCTCCTCTATGTATCTAAGATCTCTTCTTTTTGTTAACCCTGAATCTTTCGAGGTAGAGTTTGAGAATATTAGTTCAAATGGTCTCAAGCTTTGTTATCCACAAAGTTTTTTTGAAAGCTTGCCGTAACAAAGCAAAACGTACGTAATATAGCAGAATATGTAGTGAAAAATTCTTCCAAAATATTTTCTGGGTTCAACAAATTTTCTGGGTTCAAATATGTTGTCAAGGCCTTGAAACTTATTTTATTTAGGTGCACTATTTAATTATCAAAATACTGTTGGAAAAGTATTAGTTAGAAACAGCCCTCGTAGTGATAACTCTCATTTACAAAATGCTTTGTAAAGATAGTAATACATTCTAAGTAGGTCAAACGTCCATTGATTTGACATTTCGAATTACAAAGCATAAAAATTTGGTGAAAATTGGTCAATTATCTAACGCTTTATTTCTTCATTTGGCAGAAAATTCTCACCAAATTGACTAGGAGAGGTCTTCTTCAATAACTAATTGTACAAGCATTTTCAATAGAAACATTATTGTATCTGCTTTAATGCAAATTACTAAGCCATACAATATGAACATTAATATGGATTTTTAAAATTTGGATTCATTTTTAACTGACAAATTTCAAAAGATTTCAGTAAGAGCATGAATCCACAGTTACCTCATTGGTATTGTCGCTACATGGAACTCTCATGTATTGGTCAATGGGTTTTCTGTAGTTTCCTCTTGTTCTGAAGTTACAAAGACATTGTTCCGCAGCTCACGTGTGTCCTTCCTGTCTATATATATATCCCCTCCACTGAACTGTAATGTTCATCCTTCTGATGATGTGCTGATTAACCGGAAAGTAGATAAGGAATTTCTTATTTCATTTCCTTCGTGGTTAAACATTGTCACATTGTTCATCACGTTAATGTATTCGTGATTTACACACAAATATATATATATATATATATATATATATATATATATATATATATATATATATATATATATATATATATATATATATATAAAGCAAAGAAATAATACCATCTTATTTCAAAACCATTTAGTACCTCGTGATGTGACTCCGTCAACCATTTCTCCCAAGGGAAGGTAAGAAAGAAGCGTGATCCTGGCTATATAAGGTTGGCTCCCACACTGCTGACCATCACTCATTCCTCCGCCGCTCTACCAACACAACACCTCCTCCTCAACATGTTCAAGGTATCTTGATTTGAGAAAGAAGAGGAGTTCAGTAATATATTGTTGAAAATTTAGCCAGAAACTTAATACCGAGATCACAGGTTACTTGAAACATGAGTAGGTCTACGGCTCAGTGATCGTGTGCGAAACGTTATTTGTGGCTAACACGCATTATTCAATTATAACATTTATAAATATATTAATCTGGATAAATATTTAACTACATTTAGATAATCATTATATCAGCAGGTGGCCGCGATCTTGTTGACAGTGGGAGTGACTTTGGCCTTTCCATCAGATCCCTACGGACAGCCTGTCTACAAGTCGGTAAGGATCAGTACTGAACGTTTCCTGTCCTTCAAAATATTAATCTGTTCATACACAATGTTCACTACTAAGGAAGGTGTACGGTGCTTGTAACTAATGCTGGTGCACATGTCCAGGAACCCATCCCATACAACTATGCCTACGGTGTCAAGGACGACTACGCTGGCACTGACTTCGGCCACAACGAGAACTCCGACGGGTCCACGGCGAAGGGCTCTTACAATGTTGCTCTCCCTGACGGCCGCATACAAACAGTAAGTTCTATTAATATGTTTAACTTTAACCAAATGGTAAAATATCATACATCATAAATGGTCATAATTGGATATAATTGTAATTGTTTTCTGCTCCACCAGGTGAGCTACGTGGCTGACCACTACAACGGGTACCAGGCCCAGGTGAGCTACAAGGGCGAGGCCCAGTACCCACATGAGTACGGTCCACCTGTCACCTTCAAGCCCCAGTACCAGCCTTCCTACCAGCCCTCATACCAGCCTCAACCCTCATACCAATAAATGACGATGTAACATTACTTTTACGTTTTCTCCACTTTGTTCTGCAATTTTCTTCAATAAATTATACCTAAAAACTTAACCTGTAATTTATTTGACAATAGTATTGAGTTATACAATGAACTGAGCTACTAGGAAGACTGAGCAAACCCTATCTCTCCATACACGTAAAACAAACATGACCGCTAGGAACAGAAAAACGACAGATCATTGCTAAAAAATTAAGACAAAAATATGTTACAGAGCTATCGAAAAGAATTTATTCCATGAAGAGACTCCTAAATTCATGGAATGAAATTCATGAAGTTGATACTAACTCATGACACATTACAGCATTATATGAAACTATTTTGAATTAACAAACAGTTCACTGAATACAAATATAAACACTCAAATGCACATTAGATCATGCAAAGACATCCATGCCATTACACACAGGCATGTACACAAATACACACACCCATCAAAAATGGACGGTGCATGATAAAGGATAACTACCTCCCGATAAAGAATAGAAAAAAAGACCTGGGAGTGGACATCAACACCAAACCTAACTGCAAGCTCATATAAAGAGAATACCATCAGCAACACACTATGAACTAGCAAAAGTCAGAACATCGTTCAGGAACTTTAATAAGGAGGCATTTAGATCACTGTTCACCGCCTACGTGAGACCACATTTAGAGTATGCCGTCCCTTCCTGGAGCCCCCATCTTAAAAAACCCACAAGGAAACTCGAAACGGTTCAGAAGCTTGCAAGTTACCTGGATCTTATCTGGAGAGGGTCTCGGGAGTTCTTCTCCCCAAGGCCGGGTGATAACTTGGTCCAACAGGTTGTTACTTGCAGCTGCCCGCAGGCCCACATATCCACTACAGCCTGGTTGGTTCGGCATTTCTTGCAAGAAATTGTCTAATTGGTTCTTAAAGAAGTCCAATGTTGTTCCATTAATATATCTTACTTTCTGGGAGAGTATTGAACAGTTGTGGACCCCTGATGTTCACACAGTGCTCTCTGATTGTGCCTATGGCACCTCTACTCCTCACTCCTCCTATTCTACATTTCCTTCCGTATCTTTCGCTCCAGTATGTTGTTATTCTACTCTGAAAATTTGAGACTTAGCCCTCCTGCATCTTTCATGTATATATTACTCTCGTCTCCTTTCCAGAGACATCGTCAGAGCTTTGAGACGGTTCCAATAGTTTAGGTGGTTCATCGTGTCTATGCGTGCTCTGAAAGGCTAAGTGTTTACGAGGCTCGTCCCTGAATTGCGAGGGGATGGGATATAAAAAGACTGGAAGAACTAAACCATACGACGCTAGAAACAGAGAAGGGGATGGACACGATTTGAGACATGTAAAATACTTACGGGGATTAACATTGGAAAAAATGTAATGATCACAATGAATACAATAGATCAAAGGGTCATGGATGGAAACTAGAGACTCAGATGTGTCATACAGACGTCTGAAAGTTTTCTTTTAGAGTAAGAGTAGTGGAAAACGAAGGAGCAGGTTGTAGAAGCAAACTCCATTCACAGAGATATAGGTCAAGAATCATTGGAATAGACAACCGGCGGCTAGAAAAGCAGGATCCAAGAGCTAATGTTCAATCCAGAAAGTACCAATATGAGAGTACACACACACACACACACACACACACACACACACACGCACACACACACGTGAGTAGGTGAGTACACGTCCTACTTACTGAGCCCTGACAGCCGACAACCTTAGAGTGCAAGAGAGTGCGCACCTTCACAACTGCAATCCTATTAGTGATGTCACACATGGCGATTGGTGAGGACATGGTAGTCTGGTGTTCACTATTATCACCTATTACTTGCGCATCTGGTTGTTAATTTCTCAAGTGACAAATGACAAACATGTCAACAAAAGTTAAAAATAAGTGTATATAAAATATTAAAACATCCAAAGAATAAAATCAAAGACGATGAGTCACATTAACGTGGCAGAAGATATGATGACCAAACGACACATCAGACAATGGAGAAAGACGACGTTTCGGTCCATCCTGGACCATTATTAGGTCGTCTTATCACACGACTTGATAATGGCCCAGGACGGACCGAAACGTCTTCGTTTCTCCTTCCACCCTGGCAGATAGTACCTTTTGACATCTTGACGCCTGCATACCCCACCAAGAAACTAATCACAAACAGCCCTCATGCTCAGCTTGCTGCTAAATTAAACACCAAAGAACACATTCATAATGTACAAACTAAAAACAACATCGCACAGACCACATACACTGACGGATCACTCAATACAGCTACAGAGAGGACAAAAAGTGCTGTTATTGCTTATCAGCCCGATGACAGCACAATTCAAAGGAATATAAGAATTATTAACTTTGCATCTACAATGCAAGCCGAGTTGGTAGCAAAACTGGTAGCACTGAAATTATTGACAACACTGAAGTAGACAGCTTAATTATTTCTGACTCCCTTTCCTCACTACGAACAATAAACAGTTTGCAATCAAGTAATAACGTGCTTGTCTCTGAAGCCAGACATATAAACATACTAAAAAAGAGGGTTAAATATAAAAACGTTGTGGATTTCTTCTCATATTGGCCTGTAAGAACATGATAAAGTTGACGCCCTTGCTAAAGTTGCAGTAAATAAAGACAGTGTTGAACGGAATCTTGAGTTATCAAATAGGTCCCTTAAAAGTGTCATTAGACGAGAACTCTTGGTTGAATTTGAAAAAAAGCAGAACAGTGCAAACTGGAATTAGCAGGTCCATTGTTCACGATAATGAAATGTGTATAGTAAAACGTGTGTATGGGGTAAGTAACAAAATAGGCAGACTAACAGATGTTGTCACAGCTCGTATAAGACTTGGCTACAAGTATCTCTGGCAATTCGGCTTGTATCGGGATCTAGATGAAGTGAAGTGCAACGTGTGTGGACAAAGACAGGGATACACTCGAACATTATATCTTGGACTGTAGTAAAATTGAGCCATTTAGAGATAAATCTAAACTCACGTTGTATGAAATGGCAACCTATCTTCTTACTAAGGATGAACTATCTGAAATCCTTGCACTGTATCCATATTTGGCTTCCAGTAGATAAACGACATATGAGATTAAGAAACAAGTAGTGTATTGTGAGGACTAATAATAAACACCAGCTCCCCTGTGACTCTGTAATATCTCCATTGCTCAAATAATTATGTATTAGCGATAAGACCTACCATTAATGTATAATGATTTACTGTAAATATATAGCTCTTGAAATTGAATATTCTCGGTAACTAGCTGACATTATAATTATAAATTGTGAAGGATAGATGTAATTGTTAATGTAATAATCTCCGTTGAGGTCTCCGGTTTCCTCTATAATGCTTTTTTGCGCTACCGCTCACAAGATAAGTATGGGGTGCACAATAAACTAGCCGCTTCCGGCGGCAACAATAAAAAAAACAAAATCAGTCCTTGTTTCTCCATTTTCTGCTGTGTAGTTAGGCCATCAAAATTATGGATCTAACCAAATAAAAATAAATGTTAAAACCAAATGAGAAATAAATGAGTAAAATGATTAAATATAAAGTCACATTTCATAAGCAAGTAAACATGGCTTTGATTTTTTTTAGTAATTTAGAAGTATAATTAATTGCTCGACTCACTTTTCTTGATACTAAATATACCAACACTGACGTCTATAAAATAATAAAAGTGAAGGTTATAATGTGATTATACTGAAGGCCATATATGGTGCATACTCTTAAGGCAATATAATGCCTATTTAAAGGCTTATAATGTGTTTGCGCTGAAGATTATACTACGCTTACAATGCAGGTAATAATGTATCTACACTGATGGCTAAAATATGCCTAAACATAAGGCTTTAATGTATCAACTTTGAACATTACACTGTGCCTACAATGAAGTCTTAAAATATTTAACACTGTGCCTACAATGAAGGCAACACTGCTTTCACTGAAGGCAACACTTTGCATACACTGAAGGTATCACTGTGCCTACACTGAAGGCAACATTGTGTCTACACTGAATGCTTCAGTGTACCTACACTGAAGGCAACATTGTGCTTACACTGAATGCTACAATGAAGGCAACACTGAAGGCAACACTGTGCCAACACTGAAGGCAATACTGTGCCTACACTGAAGGCATCACTGTGCCTTCACTGAATGCTACAATGTGCCTAAACTGAAGGCAATATTGTGCTTATACTGAATGCTACAATGAAGGCAATACCGAAGGCTACATTGAAGGCAACACTGTGCCTACAATGAAGGCTACACTGCCTACAATGAAAGCAACACTGTCCCTACACTGAAGACAACCCAGCTTCAGGACTATACTCCGTTTTGTACAATAACCGACCCATTAAGAATGAGCATAACAATTCACTCCCCAGAACTTTATGAATAAAATATAATATCAATTAACAATAGGAAGCCAAACGCTCGGGGCTAGCCCCACCTAACTTTCCAACATGAAACATACGGGGTATGTGAGTGTCTTAGGCTAGTCGGGGTCTAGAGCTTAATAAATAACGGCATATATAGTATTCCTCTTGTCATTTTCATGAAGTCTGAAATAAAATCAAGGGTTGTGTTTTCCGTAGAGTGCTTTTTGACACACACTGTACTTCCCTTAACCTTCGTGCGAGATGGGGACTTTTAGTATCACTGCTGCCTTATTCACTCTTGTGTTCATGATATCCTCATAATGCTCCAGGAGTCTGCCAGTGCAGACTACTTATACTATGCCTCTGTATGACTAACCATTCTGTGTGATGGGGATTTTTAAGCACCACGTAGCTAGCTTTTTGACACATTATACTCTCCTTCATATAGTCTAGGGTAGCTGCAGATGTACCTAATACATAAATAAAAAAATTACCTGTGCACTTTCATGGTTTACTCGAAAATTATTTATTCGGGTTACAGCATTACCTTTTTTAGAGAGAGGGCCACCCCATCTATTGTTAAAAATATACAATAAACAAATCCTGGATGAAAACATTAAATACAACTAGATATAGTTCGATCTCATATCAGTAATCGAGAAAAAACAAAACAATTATGCCATTTAAGTGTTGGGAATCCCAAAATGCAAATCTGATATCAGAATGTGTTACAGCATGTCAGTATCTGTAACAATACCCGGCAGTACCCGGGTCACACAGCAAGATGGTCAACTCAAAGAACCAGATAATGACTTCAAAACTTTGCATCATTTGAAGATTAAGAGTCTACAAAATTGAAAATCTCCCATAAATAAATGCAATATTATGAACAGCTGAAAAACTTCATGTGAGGGGTCGCAGGGTAAGTCACATTATACTAAAAGGAGGCAATGGGACCGACTTTGACCTGCTAGTGACAGTCCCTTCAATCCATTAGTGTCACCCTGCAAAGTTAAGTGAAGCCAACCCAAGCAACCCGTTCTCGCAAATTTAATAAGTCAATATTGACTTATTAGTTGCGTGCATAGGTGACATACTAAACATAATAGTTTCCCTTGAAAAGCTTCATAGAAAACACCGACCTTACCTAACCTACTTAGTATGTTAAAATAAGCATCTTATAGCTTCGTAATTACAATTGTTACTTAACCTATTATAGGTATAGGTTAGGTAATAATTGTAATTACGAAGCAATAAGATGCTTATCTTGACATACTAAGTAGGTTAGGTAAGGTCGGTGTTTTCTATGAAGCTTTTCAAGGGAAACTATTATGTTAAGTATGTCACCTATGCATATATTTAATAAGTCAATATTGACTTATTAAATTTGCGAGAACGGGTTGACCCAAGACATCTGGCGTCCAACCTCGGACAAACGGACATATTATTTAATAAATATTAATAAATATATATACATATAAGGCACCATCTTTTTCCACACTGATGACGACGCTGACGGCTGACTCTGTACTGGGTTTACCTCAGCCACAGTTTCTCGAGTTGGAAACATCAACAGAGACATTGATCACATGTGATTCGGAACCATTCAAAATACATATTGATGATATGGGATGGCATTTTGGGACCACGCATTACATAACATCATTACAATTACAGCACTTGACCACGATGCAGCTGTTCCTTGGGACATGGCAACGTTTTAAACATTTAACCAATTCCCCGGAAGGAATGGGAAAGAGAAGCGTGATCCTGGCTATATAAGGTTGGCTCCCACACTGCTGACCATCACTCATTCCTCCGCCGCTCTACCAACACAACACCTCCTCCTCCTCAACATGTTTAAGGTAACCCGATATGGCAAAATGTCAAGTTTAGTGATTTTATTTCTTTAAAGCTGGGCTATGGAAAATAGTTTAGTCTACATGGTATATGTATATGCCTATTATACAGTGATATTTGTTATTTATTATGTTTATATATTGCAGAGGGATTTATACAACTGAACTCTAAAATAATAATTAGTAATTATTTGTTCAATGAAAAAATTTTCCTTGCAGCTGACAGCAATCTTGTTGACAGTGGGTGTGGCTTTGGCCTTTCCATCAGATCCCTACGGTCAGCCTGTCTACAAGTCGGTAAGGATCAGTTTTGAACGTTTCCTGTCCCTCAAAATATTAATCTGTTCGTACACAATGTTCACTACTAAGGAAGATGTGTGGTGCTTGTAACTAATGCTGGTGCACATGTCCAGGAACCCATCCCATACAACTACGCCTACGGTGTCAAGGACGACTACGCTGGCACTGACTTCGGCCACAACGAGAACTCCGACGGGTCCACGGCGAAGGGCTCATACAATGTTGTTCTTCCTGACGGCCGCATACAAACAGTAAGTTGTATTAATATGTTTAACTTTAATCATATGGTAAAATATCATACATCATAAATGGTCATAATTGGACATAATTGTAATCGTTTTCTGCTCTCAACAGGTGAGCTACGTGGCTGACCACTACAACGGGTACCAGGCCCAGGTGAGCTACAAGGGCGAGGCCCAGTACCCACACCAGTACGGTCCAGCTGTCACCTTCAAGCCCCAGTACCAGCCCTCATATCAGCCCTCATACCAGCCTCAACCCTCATACCAATAAATGACGATGTAACACTACTTCTATGCTTTCCCCACCTAGTTCTGCAATTTTGTTCTATAAACTATACTAAAAAAATTTGAACTGAAATTTACAATGACAATATGTTTTATAATAAGACGACTGAGCTATGAGAACAGAACTGAGGGAACTGGATCTCACCTCACACGAATAAATATGGAGCAGGACAGACATGATAGCCAAGAACAGCAAAACGAAGACAGATAAAACCTAAACACAAAATGTTCCAAAAATGTATAAAATAATTTCTTCCAAGAGTCGTAAATGAACAAAATGGATTTCTTGAATGAGTTGTAGATGCTAACTCAATACACAATTATATACAAATATGATATGTAAAATGAGTGATGACGAGTAATCCACTGAACACATACAACCAACACACACTTACAGACCCATGACAGACTACAACCTTGAGTGCAAGAGTGCGCAGCTTTACAATGCTATCGTATTAGTGATGTCACACATGGATGTTGGTCTGAAGATAGCATGGCCGTCAGCTTTATAGCATTTTTCATATTTCTTTGTATTTTTTTATGTGACCTGTCACAGATATTGCAACAAATGTTACAAATCAATGCACATGGAATTTAAAGAATTAAATACGCCGAAGGAATAACATCATAGAACTAAACAATAAATCAAAATAATTTGTTAATGTTAAAAAGTAAAAAAATATATATAACGAAAGTACAGAAGGCTGTAATATATTATTATTGTAATTATAAGGATCTTACACTGAAGGCTATAATATGCCTAGATTGTTAGGCAACAATGCTCCAACACTGTACTTTATTTGTGTACTATGCGATTAGTGTACTATGTACACTAATCGCTCCATTTATGACAGAAGAAATTGCTAACCCGGATGGGCAGAATAAATCACTGCCAATATCTGTTTCAAAACAAACATTTCTGAAGGCCTAAAATTCGTCACTGTATTAATGTATTAAAACTTGTTTTAATACATTCCTGGAGCTCGGCCAGAAAATAGTATATTATAATCTACACCTGGAAAAATGTTGTCGGAAATGGGTCTAATTCTGCACAGGATTTCCGTAAAAGAGCTAAGGCGCTGTTTAATGTACAAAGTTGTTCCAATAAAGATTATTTTGAGCCTTAAAGAACACAGTATAAACTATAATTTGGAGAGCGTGTGCAAGTAATATTTTTTTACACATTAGAGGTGATCAAATATAATGGCTAATATTGTATATGTGTAAGGCCTGTTATACACTCACAGTCATCTTGGATAACTTCATATAGACTGTTGGCTTAGATTTGTTCGTGTGTGTCAAGACTAATTAATCTGGAAGGGCAAGAAATTGCCAAATAAAACAAATCAACAACATCTGAATGACATTAAAAACAACTAGAGATGGCTCTTACCAATGAACGGCAACTCTCACAATACAATAACAGAATATTACAGAAACTGCATAAGGCCTATTAGCCCTTACGTGGCAGCTCCTATTTATATCCACCCAATCTAATTCATATATCTATGTTTAACCTGCGCTTGAAACAACCATGTGATCCCCATATCTATATATTTATCTGTACTATTAGAGAAATTGTATCTGTCAAAAGTTGGAGGCCAGATGCCTGGGATGAATCTCCTACAAATTTGCAGGGAATTAACGAAACTGACGTAGGCTTGTTGGAGGTAGGCCAAGGCCATTTTCGTGGAGTCTTTGATAGAGTAAAGAGTGAAATATGGAGTGAGTACTTTAGAGTTTTTAATACTTCGGCGGTGCGTGTAACAAGTATGAAGTTGAATTTGACAAAGGTTTCCCCATCTCTGTTGTCAAGACTATATTGTTCTAAACACTCAGGTCTAATAGGAGAGAAATTACTGACTCCCTGCGACCTGAAAGCCCCAGTATAAACAACTATGAGTTGTTTAGATCCGAAACCTAGGTTTATGGGCAGCACAAAACGTCCACCAGACTGTGCGACACAGTTGCCAGGATCAGGTTGGGTTACCGTTACCTGTGGCAGGTGGCTACAGGTGACGGATCTCCCAATTCTGAGCACGCCAGGTGCAAACTCTGTGAGCAGGAACTGCGGCATGATCTACCACACTACATCACTGAATGCTCAGTTATTTTGCCATTCAGACGCCCAGCATGAGGTACGTGGAGCTTAGCAATTACATTATTAACTCTCGTTTTCTTGAGGATATCCTCATAATGCACTCCCCGGTTGCCAATGCAGGCTACCGATCACATCCCACCAAACACACACCGAAACTACGACGTTGGTACAACGTTCGAACAAGTTTTAACACCTCCTAACCAGTTATAACAACCAATATAGCAAGTTGTAACAACGTTCTAATACGTCATAAACACGTTAAGCCAAGATGTAACAACTTTATTACAAGTTGTAACAAGCGGAAAATGGAGACAGTTTCTGTTTGTGTTTCCAGGGATGCCTGTATATGACTAAAACCATCCTGTGTAATGGAGGCTTTTAGCATCATGTAGCTAGTTCTTGACACACACTGTACTGCCCTTCAAATAGTCTAGGGTAGCTGCACAAATGCAGATGTGCCTAAATATTTTAATACAAAAATAATGCTTCTGGGAGGAGGCAATTGTTGCAAGAGTCACAGCTTTAAGCAGGCCAAGATAAGTATTACCTTTCTTGGTGACGGGTGTGTACTGAGACCATACATTTGTTTCAGTGGTTCTTGAGGAGAGGGAGAAAGAGGGAAGGGATGAAGGGGGAGAAGGGAAAATAGATTGCTAGATAGATAGAAAGACATAGATAAAGCAATAATGATAACTAAATAGAGCTAGACAGAGCTGGAGAGTCAGAAAAATCGAACAGATAAATACAGATAAAGAGAGATAGAGAAATGGTTGTCAGACAGACCTGGGGTCTTAGGCCTGTGAAGCCTCCCTGCTCAACCTGTTGGGACATGGCCGCTTTTTACATCTCAGATTCTCGAACAGTCAGAGTTCTATGCCAGTCACTCAATAATTTACTAATATCGGCTTACCATTACCTGTAACCTTATTTATAAAACTTGGAGAACAAAGTAGGCAAATAATTTTTTAACGAACCAAAAGACAAATTTACCTATAAGAACTAATTTAATGTAAATACTCATACAATAAAGAGTTCAACACAGTTTCTACCTTCTGATAATGTTTTCTGCATTCCCATTATTTTTCCAACTTAACTGACTGCTAATATTGTGAACTGCTAAAATATTAAAAAGATGTGAATCACATCTGATTCAGAACTATTCAGAACATATAAACGTATGATATGGTAGGGTATTCTAAGACCACGCATTACATAACATCAAAATAATTATACATAACATCATGTACATATCATTATAATTATAGCACTTGACCACGATGCAGCTGTTCCTTGGAACATGGCAACGTTTTAAATCGTTAACCAATTCCCGGAAGGAATGGGAAAGAGAAGCGTGATCCTGGCTATATAAGGTTGGCTCCCACACTGCTGACCATCACTCATTCCTCCGCCGCTCTACCAACACAACACCTCCTCCTCCTCAACATGTTTAAGGTAACTTGTTTTCACAAAAAGTGAAGTTTAGCGATATTTCTTCAAAACTGGCTTTTTAATACGAATCTGAGATAATAGGCTATCTGAAATATGAAACGGAGATCGTGTGTGACGATATCTGTGACTAACACGCACCATTAAACAACGAAAATATATACTTAATTGGGTAATTATTTAACATTATTTAGCTAAAAATTATACTAGCAGGTGGCCGCGATCTTGCTGACAGTGGGTGTGGTTTTGGCCTTTCCAACAGATCCCTACGGACAGCCTGTCTACAAGTCGGTAAGGATCAATTTTGAACATTTCCTGACCCTCAAAACATTAATCTGTTCATAAACAATATTCACTACTAAGGAAGGTGTACGGTGCTTGTAACTAATGCTGCTGCACATGTCCAGGAACCCATCCCATACAACTACGCCTACGGTGTCAAGGACGACTACGCTGGCACTGACTTCGGCCACAACGAGAACTCCGACGGGTCCACGGCGAAGGGCTCATACAATGTTGCTCTCCCTGACGGCCGCATACAAACAGTAAGTTCTATTAATATGGTTAAACTTTAACCAAATGGTAAAATATCATACGTCATAAATGGTCATAATTGGACATAATTGTAATCGTTTTCTGCTCTCAACAGGTGAGCTACGTGGCTGACCACTACAACGGGTACCAGGCCCAGGTGAGCTACAAGGGCGAGGCCCAGTACCCACACCAGTACGGTCCAGCTGTCACCTTCAAGCCCCAGTACCAGCCCTCATATCAGCCTTCATACCAGCCTCAACCCTCATACCAATAAATGACGATGTAACACTACTTCTATGCTTTCCCCACCTAGTTCTGCAATTTTGTTCTATAAACTATACTAAAAAAATTTGAACTGAAATTTACAATGACAATGTTTTATAATAAGACTGAGCTATGAGAACAGAACTGAGGGAACTGGATCTCAGCTCACACGAAGAAATATGGAGCAGGACAGACATGATAGCCAAGAACAGCAAAACGAAGACAGATAAAACCTAAACACAAAATGTCCCAAAAATGTAAAAAATAATTTCTTCCAAGAGTCGTAAACGAACAAAATGGATTTCTTGAATGAGTTGTAGATGCTAACTCAATACACAATTATATACAAATATGATATGTAAAATGAGTGATGACGAGTAATCCACTGAACACCTACAACCAACACACACTTACAGACCCATGACAGACTACAACCTTGAGTGCAAGAGTGCGCAGCTTTACAATGCTCTCGTATTAGTGACGTCACACATGGATGTTGGTCTGAAGATAGCATGGCAGTCAGCTTTATAGCATTTTTCACATTTCTTTGTATTTTTTTATGTGACCTATCACAGATATTGCAACAAATGTTACAAATCAATGCACATGGAATTTAAAGAATTAAATACGCCGAAGGAATAACAACATAGAACTAAACAATAAACCAAAATAATTTGTTAATGTTAAAAAGTAAAAAAATATATATAACGAAAGTACAGGAGGCTGTAATATATTATTATTGTAATTGTAAGGATCTTACACTGTAGGCTATAATATGCCTAGATTGGTAGGCAACAATGCTCCAACACTGTACTTTATTAGTGTACTATGTACACTAATCGCTCCATTTATGACCGAAGAAATCGCTACCCCGGATGGGCAGAATAAATCACTGCCAATATCTGTTTCAAAACAAACAGTTCTGAAGGCCTAAAATTCGTCACTGTATTAATGTATTAAAGCTTGTTTTAATACATTCCTGGAGCTCGGCCAGAAAATAGTATATTATAATCTACACCTGGAAAAATGTTGTCGGAAATGGGTCTAATTCTGCACAGGATTTCCGTAAAAGAGCTAAGGCGCTGTTTAATGTACAAAGTTGTTCCAATAAAGATTATTTTGAGCCTTAAAGAACACAGTATAAACTATAATTTGGAGAGCGTGTGCAAGTAATATTTTTTTACACTTTAGAGGTGATCAAATATAATGGCTAATATTATACATGTGTAAGGCCTGTTATACACTCACAGTCATCTTGGATAACTTCATATAGACTGTTGGCTTAGATTTGTTCGTGTGTGTCAAGACTAGATAATCTGGAAGGGCAAGAAATTGTCAAATAAAACAAATCAACAACATCTGGATGACATTAAAAACAACTAGAGATGGCTCTTACCAATGAACGGCAACTCTCACAATACAATAACAGAAGATTACAGAAACTGCATAAGGCCTATTAGCCCTTACGTGGCAGCTCCTATTTATATCCACCCAATCTCATTCATATATCTATATTTAACCTGCGCTTGAAACAACCATGTGATCCCCATATCTATATATATATATATATATATATATATATCTGTACTATTAGAGAAATTGTATCTGTCAAAAGTTGGAGGCCAGATGCCTGGGATGAGCTTCCCACAAATTTGCAAGGAATTTACGAGACTGATGTAGACTTGTTGGATTTAGGCCTAGGGCATTTTCGTGGAGTCTTTGATAGAGGCAAGAGTGAAATATGGTGTAATTACTTTAGAGTTTTTAATACTTCGGCGGTGCGTGTAACAAGTATGAAGTTGAATTTGACAAAGGTATCCCCATCTCTGTTGTCAAGGCTATATTGTTCTAAACATTCAGGTCTAATAGGAGAGAAATTACTGACTCCCTGCGACCTGAAAGCCCCAGTATAAACAACTATGATTTGTTTAGATCCGAAACCTAGGTTTATGGGCTGCACAAAATATCCACCAGACTGTGCGACACAGTTGCAAGGATCAGGTTGGGTTACCGTTACCTGTGGCAGGTGGCTACAGGTGACGGATCTCCCAATCATGAGCACTCAGGTGCAAAGTCTGTGAGCAGGAACTGCGGCATGATCTCCCACACTACATCACCGAATGCCCATTTATTTTGCCATTCAGACCCCCAGCATGAGGTACGTGGAGCTTCGCAATTACATTATTAACTCTCGTTTTCTTGAGGATACCCTCATAATGCACCCAGAGTTCGCCAATGCAGGCTACCGATCACATGCCTGTATATGACTAAAACCATCGTGTGTAATGGAGGCTTTTAGCATCACGTAGCTAGTTCTTGACACACACTGTACTGCCCTTCAAATAGTCTAGGGTAGCTGCACAAATGGAGATATGCCTAAATATTTTAATACAAAAATAATGCTTCTGGGAGACGGTAATTGTTGCGAGAGTGAGAGCTTTAAGAAGGCCAAGATTAGTATTACCTTTCTTGGTGACGGGTGTGTACTGAGACCATACGTGTGTTTCAGTCGTTCTTGAGGAGAGGGAGAAAGAGGGAAGGGATGAAGGGGGAGAAGGGGAAATAGATTGCTAGATAGATAGAAAGACATAGATAAAGCAATAATGATAACTAAATAGAGCTAGACAGAGCTGGAGAGTCAGAAAAATCGATCAGATAAATACAGATAAAGAGAGATAGAGAAATGGTTGTCAGACAGACCTGGGGACTTAGGCCTGTGAAGCCTCCCTGCTGAACCTGTTGGGACATGGCCGCTTTTTACATCTCAGATTCTCGAACAGTCAGAGTTCTATGCCAGTCACTCAATAATTTACTAATATCGGCTTACCATTACCTGTAACCTTATTTATAAAACTTGGAGAACAAAGTAGGCAAATAATTTTTTAACGAACCAAAAGACAAATTTACCTATAAGAACTAATTTAATGTAAATACTCATACAATAAAGAGTTCAACACAGTTTCTACCTTCTGATAATGTTTTCTGCATTCTCATTACTTTTTTACTTAACTGACTGCAAATATTGTAAACTGCTAAAACACTAAAGAGATGTGAATCACATCTGATTCAGAACATATAAACGTATGATATGGTAGGGTATACTAAGACCACGCACTACATAACATCATAATAATTATACATAACATCATGTACATAACATATAACTGTACATAATATCATTATAATTATAGCACTTGACCACGATGCAGCTGTTGCTTGGAACATGGCAATGTTTTAAATCGTTAACCATTTTCCCGGAAGGAATGGGAAAGAGAAGCGTGATCCTGGCTATATAAGGTTGGCTCCCACACTGCTGACCATCACTCATTCCTCCGCCGCTCTACCAACACAACACCTCCTCCTCCTCAACATGTTTAAGGTAACTTGTTTTCACAAAAAGTGAAGTTTAGTGATATTTCTTCAAAATTGCCTTTTTAACTCGAATCTGAGATAATAGGCTATCTGAAATATAAAACGGAGATTGTTTGTGACGATATCTATGATTACCACGCACCATTAAACAACGAAAACATATACTTAATTGGGTAATTATTTAACATTATTTAGCTAAAAATTATACTAGCAGGTGGCCGCGATCTTGCTGACAGTGGGTGTGGCTTTGGCCTTTCCAACAGATCCCTACGGACAGCCTGTCTACAAGTCGGTAAGGATCAATTTTGAACATTTCCTGACCCTCAAAACATTAATCTGTTCATAAACAATATTCACTACTAAGGAAGATGTGCGGTGCTTGTAACTAATGCTGCTGCACATGTCCAGGAACCCATCCCATACAACTACGCCTACGGTGTCAAGGACGACTACGCTGGCACTGACTTCGGCCACAATGAGAACTCCGATGGGTCCACGGCGAAGGGCTCGTACAACGTTGTTCTCCCTGACGGCCGCATACAAACAGTAAGTTGTATTAATATGTTTAACTTTAACCAAATGGTAAAAAAATACATCATAAATTATCATAATTGGATATAATTGTAACTTTTCTGTTCTCTGTTCCACCAGGTGAACTACGTGGCTGACCACTACAACGGGTACCAGGCCCAGGTGAGCTACAAGGGCGAGGCCCAGTACCCACACCAGTACGGTCCAGCTGTCACCTTCAAGCCCCAGTACCAGCCCTCATACCAGCCTCAACCCTCATACCAATAAATGACGATGTAACAATACTTCTATACTTTAACCCCCTACTTCTGTAATTTTGTTCAATAAACTATACTTAAAAAAATTTAAACTAAAATTTACAATGACACCATGTTTTATAATATACTGAGCTATGAGAAAAGAAAAGAGGGAACTCGATCTCACCTCACACAAAGAAATATGGAGCAGGACAGACACGATAGTCAAGAACAGTTAAACGAAGACATAAAACCTAGAGACAAAATTTCCCAAAAATGTAAACAATAATTTCTGCCAAGAGTCGAAAATGAACAAAATGGATTTCTTGAATTAGTTGTAGATGCTAACTCAATACACAATTATTTGCAAATATTGTATGTTAAATGAGTGATGACGAGTAATCCACTGAACACCTACAACCAACACACACTTACAGACCCATGACAGACTACAACCTTGAGTGCAAGAGTGCGCAGCTTTACAATGCTATCGTATTAGTGACGTCACACATGGATGTTGGTCTGAAGACAACATGGCCGTCAGCTTTATAGCATTTTCCACATTTGTTTGTATTTTTTTATGTGACCTATTAAGTATTGCAACAATGTTACAAATTAATGCATACGGAATATAAAGAATTTAATACACCGAAGGAAAAATCACAAAACTAAACAATAAAACAAAATTATAATTTTTTAATGTCAAAAAAGACATTACGAACAATGAAGAGAAGAACAAATATATAACGCCTGTATAGAAGGCTGTAATATGTTATTATTTTAATTATAATGATCTTACACTGAAGGCTATAGTGTGCCTATAGTGTTAGACAACAATGCTCTATCTCTATACTACACTTTGTACATTAATCGCTCCATTTAAATAAATCACTGCCAATATCTGTTTCAAAACAAACAATTCTGAACGCCTAAAGCTCGTCACTGTACTCACCTAATATTCATGTATTAAAACTCGTTTTAATACATTACTGGAGCTCGGACAGAAAATTTTATCTTAAAATCTACACATGAAAAATGTTGTCGGAAATGGGTCTAATTCTGCACAGGATTTCAGTAAGAGAGCTAAGGCGCTGTTTAATG